TTACTGCCTATTATTTTTGAGCAAGCCCTGTTGGCTCCACTCTCCAAAATAAACAGGAAATCTGGCTACCTCACTATGTCACCGCTCTGTGCTACCACTGTTGTCTGGGCCTCCGCTATTTCTCGCCCAGACTCCTGCAGTAGTCTCCTAACCGGTTCTTAAACTCCCACTCTGACTCACTTTCCTCTGTTTTTTTTTTTTTTTTTTCAGAGAGATTTTTGCTATAGGGTATGTATATTTGCTGGAGAGACAGAGAGACAGAGTGAGAAATCACCCCTCAGGGGAGATGGCCACACCACGATCCCTTCTCCTCTCGGGATTTTGGAAATGCACACACATGTGCCTAGTGTGAGTTTCTTTTTTTCTTTTCGTATGATTGTTTGTTTTAACTTAATTGATCTATTTATATTCATTCACTGTATAGCAATGCAGCATACAAAAGAAGATTTTCCATAAAGAATACACTGTATATTGGCTCTTTCCAGGATATTACCATAAAGGGCCAGCAGTTGGCATAAAGGCTATGTCGCTGGACTCCCATGTAGTCAATCGCGGTTCAAGTCCTGGACCTGGTGGCTTAAACTCATGCCAGGTGTGTGTGTGTGTATGTGTGTGTGCGCCCAAGATCCCAAGAGGAGCATGGAGGTAAAGGGACTGCGGTATGGCCATCCTCCTTGGGGTGATTTCTCACTTTCTGTCTCTGTCTCTCTCTGTCTCTCTCTGTCTTTCTGGCCAGCACATGTGCCCTATAACAAAAATCTCTACAAATAAAAAAAAAAAAAATCCAAGGATGTTACCATACATGTTATCATCCACCAATAATTTTCCATTTCTTGTTTCTTATGTATTTTGCTTTCCCCCCCCCCTTCTTTCCTACCTCTTACCCTCTGTTCTTTCCCACCCTCCTCTCACACCGTCTCTGGTATCTAGAGTTGCTTTCCATGCCTTTCCCTTACACACAGTTTATCGATTCACTGAAGATCTTAATTAGTGAAATAACTTTCAATAGCAAGCACAGCTGATATATACATATCTATGAACACATGTCTGACATTAGGCATAAACCTCAGTGAGTAAATTGAACGTACTATAAAGTAGCACCTCGCTGGGACTATATAGCTTACTGGAGTCATTAAATAGGTATTTTTAATGCATTTTTTAATTTCAAGAAAAAGTTTTAGTTTTATAGATCGAAATATAAAAAAAAAAGTTAAGAGAAATTTGCTTAAGACTTAAAGCCAGGAAAAAGTTAGGATTCAGTTCAAATAGTAGGTAGATTTAAAAGTTTTAAAAGATATGTTAAAACTTAGCTATGTTAAAAGATATGCTCAGAACTCAGCTATAGATGGCTGGTGATTGGCTTGTCCTGGCTCCTGGCTAGATCTGGGGGACAGGAGGGTGAAGTATGGGCAAAGGGTCTTCAATGGTTCTAATCGCCCCAGGTTTAGGACTCAAACTGTGGTCCATTATGTAGGAGTCCAGCACGTAACCATTACACCACCTGCTGGTCCCTACTTTCCTTTGTCTTACCGTACTATACTGGGCTCGAGAGCCAGAGGCCTATAGAGCCAGAATGACGACTCTTTTTATTTTTTTAAATTAAATTTTGTTGTTGTTGTTACAGGGTGCATGTGCTCACCAGAAAGACAGAGAAAGACAGAGAGACAGAAAGCGAGAAATCACCCCCCAGGGGGGATGGCCACGCCGAGATCCCTTCTCTTTTCAGGATTCTGGACACACACGCACATGCAACCTGTGTGATTCTCAGGTAGCCTGGCCTAGGACTTGAACTGTGCAGCTGCCCATGTAGGATCCAGCCACTTTTTTTTTCTTTTTAATATTTATTTACTTAATTCCATTTGTTATTATTATTATTTTAATTCGACGAGAGAGAAAGAGAGAGAGGGAGAAAGAGAGAAAGAGAGAGAGAGATTGGGAAAGTGAGAAAGCAAAGCCACCAGGTCCGGGACTTAAACCGTGGTTGGGTATGCGGGAATCCAGCGCCTTTAACCACCACACTTGCCACTTGCTGGGCCCAGGATCCAGCTATTTTAACCACCATGCCACCAGCTGGCTCCAGAATGACCATTTTAAAAACACAAATCAAATCATGCCACTCTGCTCAAAATACTTCCATGGATTTCCACCATTCTTGCTATAAAATCCTGTAAATTTCTTCTAAGCTCTAGCCCCCGTCTCCTCCCCCAGACGCAGTTACCATCGTGCTCTCTGTGGCTGGTTTGCTGGGGGTTTTGCTAGGGCTTCTCTGAGGAGCTGGAAGGCCGGAATTCTAGGGCAGAGGCCCACTGGCGTGTTCAGGCTGAAGCACAAACCCCTGCATGGCTAAATGACCTGAAGCAGCCTTTTATGTAACAAGGTGGACATTTCATGTCCACCCCAAACGCCAGAATGCGAGGTTTGGCAATAGGTCCTTTGTAAAGTTAATTATTCAAGAGTTCACAATGAAACCATTTTGGACTTATGGTGATTCTCAAATCCAAAGAATGCTGTCTTTATAAAAAGAAAGGAGAGGAAGATTTGAGCGCAGAGCAACATAGGAATCGCCACATGAAGACACGGGAGAGACAGGAGTTACACTGCCACAGGCCAAGGAATGCCCGTTGTCACCAGAAGCTGGAGGAGGAAGGGCTCTACGATTCAAAAAGAATTCTCCCCCTGCAGCCTTTGGATGGAGCACAGTCCTGATGGCACCTTGATTTCATACTCTGGGCTCCAGAACCATGAGAGAAAATTGCCGTGACAACCACCAGAGAGCGGGACCTCAGCCTGGCCGCAATAGGACTCTGAACCAATATGGTATCAGGAGGAAGATGCAACTTGCAGTGAATTGTAGAATAAACTTCCAGCAATATATGTCACCCTAGGGACCAGCAGATGGTGTAATGGCTATGCCGCTGGACTCCCATGTAGTTGACCGCAGTTTGAGTCCCAGACCCAGCGGCTTAAACTCACACCAGGCGTGTGTGCGTGTGTGCCCAAGATCCCGAGAGGAAAATGGAGGAGAAGGGATTGTGGCATGGCCATCCCCCTTGGGAGGTGATTTCTCACTTTCTGTCTCTCTGTCTCTCTTGCGAGCACATCTGCCCTATAGCAAAGAATTCTCCAAA